AACTATGATTTAGTAACTCCCTGCATACCACACGTGTGTCTGCATGTCTGTGAGCAGAGACGAGGGATAAAGGGACAGTGGGATACAGACAGAGAAGTGGAAGGAACACTCTGGCTTTGTCTGGCTGAAAGCACCGACGACGTGACACTAGTGTGGTCTAGCTGACAAATTTTAACAAACATGCTCTATGAGTCAAGTGTAGACAAGACAAAATGCTAAGCAGGTGACATAGGATAGGATTAACTTGACCAGCTCAGCCAGAACTGTAGGAAGGGCAAAGTGAGAAAAGTGCCAGATGAGAGCAAACGCACAGGAGCTCTGCCAGCAGCAGCAGCTGCTGCTCAAAAACAAGGGTTGCAAAGCTCTAGCAATAGCCAGACTAAGGGACTGGCGGGGACCAGGGAGAAGGAGAGCATTTCAGCTAAGGGTGGAAATATCCCACTGCTGACCTGACCTTAGCATGCACTGGAGTCTTGTCAAACTCGCAAATGTTATGGGAGAACGTGTCGGCTGGAAGCGCCTAACGTCACGCTCTCAAACCCAGCCTCGGCAAGGACAAAGAGATCTGGAGGTAGGAAATCTCTATTTCCCCTTCTGTCTCTGACCTCTCTTGCCTGTGGTCTCAGAGAGGGCCTGTCTTGCCTGTGTTCAAGTAACCCAAGGTATGAACAGGGAACAAACATATTTACTTGCTTCTGTGTTTGTGCTGGGGATTATTTAGTTAATATTTATAAAGCACTAAGATGCAAAGCTCTAAATAAGTTGCACTATTATTATTAGAAGGGAACATGCTGCATTCCAAATACTCGGGCAATAAAAATGAGCCAGTATGCACATCAGAAGAATAAGATAAAGCAAATCACGATGTAAATAATTAACAAGAGCTTAAAACGAAGTTTTGCAAGCACAGATTCAAAAACATTCTTAAAAGGTGAGGCACAGAGCCCTAGGGACAGAAATGCTTTTCTCATCTACCACTGGAGTACACTATACCATAAGATCACGGCTAAAATCAAAAGTAAATTTATCAGCTACTGTTTTTGTTGACAATTGTTTTGCTTCACAGCACAGGAAGCACTGGTTAGTAAGATATTTTGGATCAGCAAATTTCTTGTCATATGGTACAAACCACTAGTTATTATTAAAAAACAGCAGCAGCAAAACAAGCAGTTGCTATCACTACATTTCATTTCCCTTTGCGAGTCACCCCTCGACAATTTCTTGTATGTTGGGAGTGGTTTCTAAGCTTCCAGTTACAGCTCACTCGCAGACCCCAAGAAGCCAAAAATACTGTGTGAATAGTGATAAATATTGGAAGAATTATAATTCTGTCCACTTTGCAGTGCCACTTGTGGTTGTGGAGACTTCACATAGGTCTCAGCACTTGGTTTAGAAGCCACTGCTCTAAGTCATCTTATTGTAAGATCTAACACAAATGTTAGTGGAATTAGGGCTCTTGCCTCATCCCTACTCACATCCTTTCATGTTTTATGGTCTGTGAGCAGTCCCATTCAAGGCTTCAATCCCAAAGAGATTCAAGACTACTCCCAGCACATTAAATTCTTACTAGACAGAAGGCTTTGTATACACAGTCTGAAAACTTGTGTCTTAGCTACATATTTATGCATCTACAACAATTACCACGTAGAAGAGCAGAGACAAAACTCAGGCCCAATCACCCAATCCTTACTATAACAAGTCATATTAAGAGATTACAATGCAACTGCTTATGTGAATAATATTTGTAAGATCAAACACACAACTTTTATCAACAAGGCAAGAAAATGTAAGTAAGTGGGATAGTGGTTGAATGTTTATACCGTGCACGAGCTTCTCCTTTTATCCCCTTAAGAAGCGATTTTATTAAAAACAATGTACATTTTCAAACAAGTGCTGTTTTATTACTTAATATAGATCTTTCTCTCTCTTTTTGCTAAATCAAACAGCAAGTTTCCAGGCTTTCGCAATTATTTTAGTACTTGATATCCTAAGGGATTGTCTTATTCGGCTTGCTTTATCTTTAATATACACTCATGTTGTTTCTGGCTGTGAGATAACTCTATCCTTCCTAGCTTTGTAAATATTTTTCTGTATAGGTAATACAAATGACACACTGGGTCTCAGCTGAGGTTGAGGAAGCAGGAGGTAGTATCTGCCCTTTAAGAGGGAGCAGTTAAAAGGCTGACCTCAGGTCTTCCAGCAGAAGGGAATAAAGAGTACCCAGCTCCAAAAGACAGTGGTCTGCACTGTCGACCCACTACAATGTTTAAATATTTAGCAAAACAGCCAGCCACGCTCCCCTTTCATGGTGCCCGTGTGAGCAAAGGGGCTGCCCTGGAGGGGAGAGTGGCTGTTTCCAAGCCCCTTTGGCGTGGGTCCTGCGTCCCCTCCTCCTCCTCTTTCTCTCCCTGACAGGGTGCCCTTGTGCCAGCTCACCTGAGGAGCAGCACCCAGCCAAGGTCCAGCGGTCAGCAGGCTTGGTAAGAAAGCGCCTCTATGCTCTCCTTTCCCAAGGGTGGTGGGAGAGGGGCTCTGAAGGAAAAACAAACAAACATTGACTCACCCCAGCCTTGACTGGGGTTAAAGTGGGATGAAGAATCCCCTTCCCTTCACTCCTACCCGAGGTGAGCTGCTGCTGTGAAGGGCTCGAGCTTAGCTTTTGAACAGCAGCGCATCCAGGTCCTCCTCCCGCTTTGATGGCAGAGGAGTTTGACAGTGGATG